ATGGTTCTTTTGTTGATCCCACCACATTTGTAGATCAGATGGCCAGTAGTGGTGGACTTGCCAGAATCTATGTGTCCAATGACAACGATGTTGATGTGAGTCTTGTCCTTTCCCATTTTGGCTTTGATTTAGCAGTAGTTTTCACAACACCTGTGTTCTGGTGGCAAACTAATTGCGAAAAAGTGCTACTATGTTCTTTAGAAGAAGTTAAAAACAACATTTCGGGCCGGCAGGTGGCATGGTGTTTGAGAATGCTGGATGCCCACATGGCCGATCGCCGTTCAAGTTTCAGGCCTGTTGGCTTGCTTTCTTACTTTCCCTCTCTCTCTCTTACTCTGCCCTCTCTGGTCAAATTTAAATAAATAATAGAGTTGCATAAAATAATTTTTAAAAAAACGTATAACCTCCTCATCCATTTTTAAGTTAACATCTCAAGTTCTTCATCAGGAACTTAAATTATTATAAAGAATTATAAATATAAATGTTTTAAAATAAAACAGAAATATTACCATTTACATGTGTCTAATAGAACCAAAGTGTCATTTAGAGTTGCCTGGCCTGATTAAGGCAGACAGATTTTACATGGCTGACCATCGTTCAAATCCCAGTCTTGGCAGCTTGAAAAACATGCCAGGCATGTATGTGTGTGTGTGCCCAAAATCCCAACAAGATGGGGAAATGGAGAAGAAGAGATTGTAGTGTGACTACACTTCATGGGATGGATGCTTCCTTGCTCTCTCTGTCTCTTCCTGTCTCTCTCTCTCTCTCTCTGGAGAGCATATGCACCCTCTGGCAACTAAAAAAGTACCATTTAGATACTTACGTTATAAGAAGAAATTTCATATGTTTTCTTCTTCAATCTCATATTTCCATTCCAATTCTCTCACATAATTTTACTCTAATGACACTTATTTTATGTTTTATAGAATTTCTGGTCACTCTATAGTACACACACATACACATACTTTTCCACAAGACCATTCAACTCAGTTTTCTTAACAAAGTCTACTGTTAGCCATGGTACTGCTGGGTTCAAATTCTAGCTCTACGGGACCAGCAGTTAGCGTAATGGCTATGTCACTGGACTCCCATGTAGCCAACCGTGGTTCGAGTCCCGGACTCGGTGGCTTAAACTCACACTGGGTGCCTGTGCGTGCGTGCCCAAGATCCCAGGAGGAGAATGGAGGAGAAGGGATTGCAGCGTGGCCATCCCCCCTGGGGGGTGATTTCTCGCTTTCTATCTCTCTGTCTCTCTCTGTCTTTCTGGCAAGAGCATACGCCCTATAGCAAAAACCCCTCCAAAAAAAAATTCTAGCTCTACTATGTAATGGTTGTGTCTCTGGATGAACTTCTTTTTCTTCTTCCACAATACTGGGGAATTAACATTGCCTGTTTTGTAGAGTTGCTGCAAGAAATAGATGACTCAACATATGAAAATACTTAGTTCTGTGCCTGGCATATAAGGAGCATTTAATAAGTGAAGGCAAATTCTTAATTTACCATGCAATATACCTCTTCACTCATAATGTAAGAGAACCAACTTGGATGACATATTCTTCCATAAACACTAAGTCCATGATATTTTGTCTAACTTTTCATTTTATTCCAAAAGCTTCTAACACAAACCATCAGTTTGCCAGATATTCTTTTTCCAAAAGTACCTCGAAATTTGATGGATGAGCAAATAGTTACTTTCTTCCTTATTTTCTGCTCCTTGCCAGAAGAAACTGCCAAATTCCTCATGTAAAAACACTCAAAAGTAGAACTTTCTGGCCATTCTAAGGAGCTATGAGGAAATTATAAACCAGCTTATATGCTTTTCCCCACATGGCTATTTGTAAACCACACTGTAGCTTTAAGTTACCCTTAGATGATGTATAGCTAATCCTTACCCAAAAGTCACCTCCAATTGTGATCAGTGCATACTGTTTTCTGGTAATCCTATTAACTTAGGTTAATTTTTTTTTCATGTGAATCTTTGCAAGTAACAGTGATCATCTCTTTGTTTTCTTAGGAATGCACATAGTGAAAATGGACACATATGATGAAAAGCAAAACAGAGTGGCCAAATGTGGAGCACCTGGACATCTCATACATGCCTTGTGTGAGTGTGGGATGGCACAATGACTTTGGAAATCATTTTGTTAGCTGTCTATAAAGTTAAAATCCACCTAGCCTATGACCCAGCAATTCCAATCCTAGATATTTACCCAAAAGGGAATCAAATCATGTCTACCTAAAGATTTCTACAAAAATAGTTAGTGTGCTCTATTCATAAGAGCCAACAAATCAAATGTCCATCAGTGGAATGGATAAATTCTGTAGTATGCACACAATTGCATTGTCAGGTCAGAGAAGGGAGTGATCTTTTTCTGACCATCACAAGGACTCATGATCAGACATCCTTATAATAAAAAACAAGTAAGCAAGGCACAACAAATGTATTTGATAATAGCTTTATGTGATGCAGGAGCCTTTGAATTGAAGACTCAAAGATATAAGGGTATCTGTCAGTTTTATTTTGTTTTGTTTTTAAGAGAGATTTCTGCTACAGGGCATGAGCGCTCACCAGAGAGACAGAGAGCGATCAGAGTCAAAAAGCGAGATATCATCCCTGGGGGTGTGGCCACACAATCCCTTCTCTTTCATTCTCCTTTCAGGATTCTGGGCATGTAAGTATATGTGCCCGGTATGAGTTTTAAGCTGCTGCGACCAGGACTTGAACCATGGTCGACCATGTGGGAGTCCATCAACATAACCATTTCACCATCTGCTGGTCCTAGTAGCTATCAGTTTTTATGCTTGGGTTCAATGAAGCAGGCAAAGCTGTGTAGAAATGCAATTGAGGGATATAAAGGGTATGAGCTGATGGAAATAGAAATCTAGAAAGGCCTATCTGTTTAGATTCTTCTTGGCCTCTCTGCATAATATTCATTTTTTTTTCAAGATATGGGGCAAGAAACCTGTGGAATTGGAGTTTATGACTTATAATCAAATGAGGTAGGTCAGGAATTTCTTTATGGCAAACTCTTACACAAAAAGATAGAAGTTAGAATAATAGTTTTAGGTTTTATCTCTAGTTTTGAGGGGAAAGGGGTTCTGGTTTCTATGACCTATTTTGGAAAAGAAGAATTCTAGTTTCCATGGCATGCCTTAGAGGAGAAAGAGAGCTGAAAAACAGGAGGACAGCTGAAGGTCAGAAACCCTCCACTTCTGAGGCTGCTTCTGAGGCTACTGAATCACAACTCTGTAATTAAATTAGGATGAACCAGGACCAGCAGTTGGTGTAATGGCTATGTCACTGGACTCCCATGTAGTTGACTGTGGTTCATGTCCTAGACCTGGTGGCTTAAACTCACACCAGGCTCATGTGCGTGTGTGTCCAAGATCTGAGAGGAGAACAGAGGAGAAGGGATTGTGGCGTGGCTATTCTCCCGGGGGGTGATTTCTCGCTTTCTGTCTCTCTGTCTTTCTGGCAAGCACACCAGAAGAGGTTTTCTATAGCAAAAACCTCTCCAAAAAAAAAAAAGGATGAACCACAATACATGCAACAACATAGATAAATCTCAAAAACATTACACTAAGTGAAAAAAGTCAGATATAAATGAATACATACTATATAGTTCCATTTATACAGAGTTCTAGAATCGGCATTAATAGGAATCAAAACAGTGATTACTTATCTTATGGAGAGGGAACATTAATTATAAAAGGTCACAAGGAACTTTATGGAGTGAGGGAAATGTTCTAAATCTTGATTGGGGAAGAGGTTACATGGGCACATACCTTTATCAAAATTCATCAAACGCTACATTTAGTATCTGTACATTTTATTGAAGATAAAAACAGCATCAAACTTACAATTGGAAGGGACCTCAAAGAGCATTTCACCTTAATCTTTTCCACGTTGATACCAGAAAATTCCATATAACAGTCCAAGTCAATGACCACTCAGCTCCAGTTTGAAATTTACAGTAGCAAAAACACAAAATTACAGCCCAGTCTCCTCTGTCTTTAGGCGCTCCCCAACTGAATCCCACTGCTGGTTCTTGGGGGAGTTGCAGTTAACAAAACTTGTTGTCTCCACCAGCTAGGACTTCTCATGTGAACTCTTATCAACCCCGAATATTCCTGTCCAGTTGTGCACCTTAGCATAGTTAATATTTGCATCAAGCACCAACACTACCTATGGTGTTTTTAGCATTCCTTCTCTATATGCCATCCATGGTCCCTGGAGTTGTCATAGATTATCTCAGACAATTTCAGGAAATTTGAGAGTGAAATTGCTCAGAGTCCCTTTGAAAAATTAGTCTCATATAAATGTAATCTATGAACATGCCCAGAGAGAAACATTTTACAACAAAGGAGACCCACATCAGGACAAGAAGATCTTGGTTGCCCATGAAACTTGTAACTTATATAGGAAGCCTTATAATTAGGCTGTTGTACTTGATAAAAATGGGGCAGGGAACACAACTGAAATTGAAACTGATATGGCTGTTTCTTCTCTCTCTCATGCAATGTTACATCATATAATACACTCAGGACTGCCACTAGAGGAATGAAGGGAGAGCAGTGACCTCCTCCCCATAACTGGGCTTGATGGTTCAGGAAAAGTCCAACAATGCCATGGCAGATGGGACAATGTTGTCCATAAATAAAAGAAATGGGAATCTACTCATTGAAAACAATGTTACTTAATGTATTCTTTCCTTCAGAAATATGAGATGTTTAACTTTTACTATATTTTTTAAGTGTATTTCTTTCATAAGAGCAAGGGGCAGAGAGAGACAGGCATTCTCAATAGGGTCTCATGTCTTAATCACCCCACCCTTCCCAGCCAGTAAGGATTGGAAGCATGCATGTGAGCAACATATT